GATATTTTTAAAAATCCGCGGGACAGTGCTCCAAAAAGTGGGACTGTCGCACTAAAATCAGGACGTGTGGTCACTTTATGTATATAGGAAATTGTAATTATGCTGTAATGTGTGTTCACTAATTCAAGTATAAGAGTTCTGATTATGCAAACTAACAATTTCATATCAGCATTACTTTCACATAATTTCTTTTTCATGTCACTAATATTTATATTAAAAAATTGTATAGTGAGTATATATAAGTCTCTGCTAAGTCTCTTAGTATAAATTAAAAATTGGGCATTATTGTGAAAGAATGGAATGTTATGTTTTATTAAAAATATTGCCCTTCACTAGCTGATACTTTTTCCCATCTTTCTGGCAGCATACAGATACCACATTGGAAGAACGCTTCATCTTTTGAGGCTATCCACAAATCAATCCAATTTTTGGTTAAAATTTAGTCTACGGTACCCCTTGGCAAATCGTCTCTTTTTTGATGCTAACATTGTCGTCAGGAAGGATCGACATCAATTTCAAGATGGTACTAATCCTTCCACCCACTATACAAAACCAGAACAAGAAGTCAAAGGCTTACACAAACTCGGTGTCCATGTACACATCGACCTATTTTAACTTAAAAAAAATCAGAGAATTGCACAAACTAGGCATTGCGCACTGCCTTAACTTTGTCCATGTACATATTGATCTATTTTCACTTAAACAGAAGCTAAAACAAAGTTAAAACTATCATGTTAACTAGAAAAAAATTTCTCACTGTCTTAACACACAGAGACGAACAAGTAACCAAAACTACACAAACAGTGAGTAATTTATGATTATGTAAATTAAATTTATGATTTTGTAAATACAAAATATTTATGATTTTGTAAATACAAAATTTGTAATAACCAAAAATACATATTTCTTAACATAAAAACATTAAACAACAAAACTTTTTACAAAAATTAACACACAGAGACGAATAAATAAATGCAATGTTAAATTATTATGTAATTCATAAAAGAGCTCTATTGTATAGTTAAAATAAAATTTTAAATAAGTATTAAATTACTATTGCTACCTCAAAGCATTACATATGGAAGAACTCTTAAAAGTGTATTTTTTTAATGTTGTTACTTTTTTAATATTAATGTTAATTCCTGAATTAATACTCTAAAATGAATGGGAAAATATGAATATACACCTGGAGGGCAAAAATTAAGGACGAAGTCGAAAAATTAGCATATCAGCTGAACGAAGAGGCAGAGCGGACAGAAAGACCAGTCAGGAGATTAAGTAAGGTGATGTACGGTAGCACATGCGCAGATATGCAGGTAGACGTAAGTGGGGAGTGTCTGAGTAGTATAAAGCATGTTGTCGGTGTAAGATCAGTATTTCTGGCAAAGAGATTGTACGCAGTATAGCAGTTAAAATCACACCGAGTTGCTGCCTCAGCGAGAAATGGTGAATAATCAATCTGTTAGACGACATCTGGATGCTTTTACCCGAGGTCGAATCATTGGGAAGTTGGACGAAGGCCGCAGTGTGACAAGTGTGGCTGCAGAGTTCAGAATTGCTCACAGCATTATTTCACGACTTTGGAGACAATTTCAAACTACAGGAACAGCTATCTGGCGGTTTAGTAGTGGTCGTCCACGAGGAACCACACCCGCAGATGACCGGTATATTGCCTTACAGGCCAGAAGAAACAGGCGGCAGACAGTGGGAGAAATCACTAGACACACGACACAGGCAACTGGACGACCGATATCGTGTTTTACTGTGTCCAGAAGACTGCAAGGTGGTAATCTGTTTGCACGACGCCCTGTATGGTGTGTACCTCTAACACCTGCCCATCGGAGAAGGCATTCTGAAATTGGAGAGACAATGAATGGGGACGAGTACTCTTTACACATGAGAGCAGATTCAGTCTGAGTATACTCATCTGGAGAGATTCTCATCGCATACTCATCTGGAGAGAGTGGGGAAGCCGCAATCATCCCTCGAACATCATTGAAAGGGACAAGTATGGAGGTGGCGGTGTTCTCGTTTGGGGAGGCATCATGCTTGGTAGTCGTACAGACCTTCACATCTTCGACGCAGGTTCAGTCAACGGGACCCGTTATTGTAACGAGATTCTTAGTCCATATGTGCGTCGTTTTAGAGGCGCTATGTGTCCGCAGTTCCTTTTCATGGACGACAATGCACCATGTCATCGCACAGTAGCTGCCGAACAGCTCTTAGAGAGTGAGGATATTGAATGTATGGATTGGCCGGCATGATCTCCGGATCTCAATCCCATCGCGCATGTATGGGATTTTCTAGGGAGACGCTTGGCAGCTTGTACCTTACTACCAGTAACGATTCCGGAGCTTCGATTGGCGCTGCAAGACGATGGGCAGCAATGCCTCACAACTCATTGACACCTCATTCTCAGGCATGGGCAGATGCTGTGAAATCTGCCTAGCAGTCAGGGAGATACCCCTATTAAAGACCAGATGTTTCTTGCTGGACACCCATCACAGGGATGTTTCGGCCTTCAGTCGAATTGCTCCATGCTACTTTTCATAAAGCTTCTTTTATCCCTCTGATTTCTCTTTTAGTAAGTGTTGCTTACATTACTCATGTCCTTACGTATTGGGGATCTTACGGTTTAACGTTGATTTGGAAAGCTTTTGTACAAAGTTATATTGAAAAAACTGTCTCGTCCTTAATTTTTGCACACCAGTGTAATTTGAAGCACTATTTGCAAGTTCAAGTAAAAGTCAAGAATATCTTTTTATGGCTAGATCCAAACAAATACAGCAAAAATTATTCTAAGACAAGATTATATTAAATGTGTACAGACACTTAGTGAATATAATATATACTACTTGCAAGTGCAAGTAAAAGTCAAGAATATCTTTTTATGGCTAGATACAAACAAATACAGCAAACAGATTATTCTAAAAACTAAGATTTATTATTACATGTGTACAGACACTTAGTGAATATAATATATACTACTTGCAAGTGCAAGTAAAAGTCAAGAATATCTTTTTATGGCTAGATACAAACAAATACAGCAAGGAGATTATAAGAACTAAGATTTATTAATACATGTGTACAAACACATAATCAATACAATATATATTTAATAATATTTAAATCTGCAATGTTTTAGAACCAAGCTTAGATTTTTATTAAAAAAATTCACATTGTTTTGATTTTATACTAAATTAAATTTATGATTTTGTCTTCTTTTCCAAATCTTGTCTCATTACCTTGGTTTAAGTTTAGTTAGATTAGGTAATTTGAATATAGCAAAGTAAGTAGTTTATGTAAGTTTAATGTAATTTTTCATAAAAATATAGGCTAGTGTTTAAGAAGTATTTGATATCTCAAAGGGAAAGAAATTCCGAAACCTGTTCAACTTTAAATGTTACAATTTTGCAAACGGATTTTAAGCAAGGATCAAGATTCTTACAAAGTTAATAGAGGAAGTTTATTCCAATGATTATTAATGATGTTGAAGACATTTAAGTCATGAATTATTCTATTTTAGAACTGTTAGTGCAAACTCAATACAAAAATAATTGATGATTTCAACACCTTAAAATAATAAGGTTTCACAAGAGATTTCAACCAGTTATTTTGAAAAAGGTGATTTTCCCAAAATAATCATAGACTGAAGAAACTTTATTTTAAATATAGAACAGAAATAGGAAAAATTATAATTGAGAAGCATGAATCATTTTATAGAATTTTCTGAATGCTTTTAGCATTAATACAAAATCATACTGATCTTTGATGAGGAACTCGTAAAGTAATGTAAGCAAAAGTTGGAGAATGCAAAGTATGGGATTTTAAAATAATTAAGACCAATCAATATGAACAGGAAGTCTCATAATTAATATCTTAATGAGAGATCAGAAAAAGATTGAGAGTCAATGTATTACTATTAAAAACTTTTCTAACTTCTTTATAAAAATTAAAAGGTTTGCATTTAAAGGATTTCTATTATGAATAAGAATATTTAAAAGAATTTTGTTATTAATTACTTATTAATTTCAACTAGTCAATAATAAAACTGTTGCAATAACTTTTTGTACAAAATCTATAATTTATTAACAATAATTTAATATTGAATTATTATAAATTATTGAGATTAAGCTGTAAATTTAAAAAGGGAAAGCTCATCATTATGTTGACATAGATATCTAGAGAAAAAGACGGATATTTATAGAAATTTATAGAAGATGATATGCTATAGATATTTACAGAAAAACTACGTTTTGTGGTACCAGTGTCAAGCTTCTTTAAAATGCAGAGTTTTTGTATAAAACCAGAGTTAATCTGAAACTAAATTTTAATTAATTTTAAATTTCAATTTTGGGTGTTTCTCTTTCACATCTTAAACTGTAAATGTTAACAAGTGAATGCAATAACATGCAGTGTGTTTCAAGACCTGCATATGAGTTTTGTAATCAGAAGGAAGACTAGTTTAACTTTCATACAGCAATTAGTTTCAAATAAAAAACTTCAATGTTAGAGAAAAATGGTTTGGATTTAATATAGTTCAAGAGAGGGAAAAGGTGCTTTTAATTTGGTTAACTTTTTTCCAGCATTTGCAAATTGGAAAGTTTTTACTAAAAAGTTTATTTTGTGTAATATTGCATCTAGTGAAAGCATGTTTTACTGTAATATTTGAAAAAGTATAATAGGAATCCTTATGTTATGTAAATGTAACTGTTGAGATTAATGTAAAATAAAGTTATATTTTATATACTGTAATTCCCTCCTTCCTTTTTTTTTACTGAAGCAAAAAGGTAAAAGAATTTGCATGAATAAAAGTAAAAAATATGCATGAAATTGGGACAGGCAAAATTTATAACACATGTCTTTAATGATAGATTTCATCATTTGGTATGCTGATGCATGTTGAGTAGAATTTAAAGTGTTAACGCCTATATGTATGTATGTGTGTGTGTGCATGTGTAGAAACATATTCTGATATAATGTTATATGGAATTTTTTAGTTGCCCAAGATGACTACAAACTTTTGACTGACTTGAATCGGGAATGTGACATGACTTATGCAGGGCTAAGAAAAATAGGAGGAAATTTAAATAAACAACTAAAAGAAATGACTGAAAAACGTAAGATTCCTTTTTTTTTTTCCTTCCTCTGTCTGTATATAAAGAGGCATACAAAGAATCTTGGGATAATCGAAATAAAATTCAAGCATAATTTTTTTAAATTTTATTTTATTAAATGCAGTATATGACAAAGTATTTTTAGATTAATTTAACTACTGAGTTTTTCTATCATTGACTAGTGGCATAGCCTTTAGTGCTCAGAGCAATCTTTGAATTTGCTATCCTATGGAGAGCACATAAAAAATTTTACAAAATGCCAAAGTATTATGTAGTGAAATAAAGTCCCTTTTTATATTACTCACTTGTTGTTCTGTACATGGATGGTAAGATTTCATAAATGCTAAGTCTCATTTATAGATCTTGGGTAATACTAAATCAATTTTTACTTAGGGAAAACTCTTCTTGCAATTAGTTATATTTAGAACAGTCATAAGGACAATTCATAGTTGTAATTACAGTATATGGAACTGAGTTCTATAGACTGTATTTTAGCATAAACTGCATAAGTTGAAAGAGACTTTCTTTGATGTCTGTTTCATCTTGAGGAATGAAAATAAAATTCTAAAGTTCTTTTTGTGTTAACAAAGAATTCTTCCCTATTTATGTCATGGTAATCATTATTTATTCAGATATTCATATTTATGTTGTAAAGATTTAGTGACTAAGGAAGGCATAGGAAGAGTAAGATATTTTAGAAATATCATGGTTATTTCTTAGATCACAATGTTGAGAATTTAAAAATTTTTTATCTTCAATTTAGTTTTATATCGTATTTCAGTACTATATCTTGATTCTTCTTCACCTGCTATAAGTTTCTTCTTTCTGCCCCGATAATTCTTGACTATATCCATGGATTGTCACAAAGTTCTTTCATATAAAGTCTTCAAACTGTTAGATAATTTATCCCTATTTTCAGCGAAAAATACTTTTAAACTAAATATTTAATTTTGAAGGTGAATTTGTGTTTAGCATTCTAGATGGATGGATTTCTGTAGGTTACAAAAACATTAGAAGAAAAATAATAATTAACAAGCAATGCTCTATCCATTTTCCTTATCTATTAAATATGGCTTAAGACTTTCTTTCAATGCTTGACTATATTTTTCATTCACTTTCACTATACATTTGACAGTTTGACTAGTGAATCTAAATATTTCAATGATGGGCTGAAGAAAAGCAGGGTAAACAAATGCTTTGCAATACCCATACAGGTATTGGATTATCATATTTCATCACATATTTTTTCCACTGCCTTATTTAGCACCAAGTTCTGAAATTAAAAATATATATACAGTCAAAAGTCGTTAATCCGGACTCATCAGGACTTCGGCGATTCCGGATTATAGATCATCAGTTTAAATCTCGTAAGATGGCATGCACAAATTCTAAAATCAAAAATATGATGAAAAACAGTTATTTAGGAAATAAGAACAATTATGATATAAAGGTATCCAAATTTACAAAAAAAAAAAACCTTATATTTTTGTTTCTTTATTAAAACATTTCTTTCAATGCAAGGTGTTTCGTTTTATGTGATATAATTTCTCCTTTATTATAACGACGTAATTCGTTCAGTTAATTTTAAAAAGCACCGCTGTTCAAGTCCCGCGAATTGCGTGCCGCGGAAAGAATATGACAACTTTGTCAATAGAAATTTTTTCGTTTTCACTAACTTCCTGCACCTTCTTCATGTGTATCCATTTTTTGCAGCCATTCCAACTTTTTGGTGGACGGACATCGAGAATACTTCGTTTGTCGATCCTTTGGGGCTCCAGAATCGGAAATTGACATAATCGAAAGTTCAAGTTACTTTATAAAATTGCTCTTACAGTCTAAAAAATAATGTAGCTGACCAATTCGGATTAAGGAACAAACGAATCATCAACATCAACTTGAAATGATATTGAATAACTTTAGCTTATACCGTCCGGTATACGTTAAACGTTGCCCGCGGAAAAAAGTTTTTATTCTGCCACTTACGCATATGCACGTGCGGTAAAGTCTTACGCGCAAAGCGTAAGCCTATATGCATGTGTCAACGTGGCGCAGTGGGCGATGGCAGAAAGGTTTTTTTAGCTTTGAGGTCCGGATTATAGATCATTCCGTATTATGGGTGTCCGAATTAACGACTTTTGACTGTATATATTTGTGTAACTTCCCCCTTCCTTATTGCATTCAGAGAATGAGCTTTCGTACATTTTAAAATGGATTCATCCACGTATTGATTATTTTCATCTTTGCAAACTACCTGCAAAGGTCGTGCCGAACCCTTGCCTCATAACTTTTGTCCACTGATTGCAGCAAAGCAAATATGAAGTGACCTTCAGTCTACCATTTCGATGACTCAGCTGCACATTAACCATCTCTAATTATTTATGGATGATTTGAAGCTTAAGTAGAAGCAAAGACAATTATAAAAATGGCCGTGATTCAAATTACAGGGAAGTATGAATGAAGATATCTTAATTGCAATGGTAATATTACTATTCTTTTTGAAATGTAGATTTCTTTTAAATGAATAATTATTGTGGTATTAACCTGTAGTTTATCCATGACTACTTTTCATTTGTTATATTCTTACTGTAACTGTGTCCTTTACAAATTGAGTTATTTGCGTTGATTCCCCCCCCTTGATTTTTGGACAGTAAAATTAGTGAAAAAGAGAAAAGAAAAATACGGTGTTTAATTTTAGCAAAGTATAAAAGAAAATTGAGTTCCCTTTCAATTCTGATTGAGCAGCCTGCAGGGAATCCCTAACACATAACATAATTCTCAGCAATAGGAGCTGTATGTTAACCTGCCAAATTGAACTCGGTGATTTATACATGGAATAAGCTGTGCTTTGCCACTTACACCGAAGAGCCATTACATTATGACCACCATGTTAATAACACGTACGACCAAGTTTAGCCCTCAAAATTGACATCGACTTGTCTCTGTCCAACTGTAAATCCGGGAGCCAGGGTTTCATTTGGAAATTGGCATATTAGCACACCCCCGTCGATACGATGGACCAGAAAACATGATTCGTCAGACCATGCAGCTTTCTTTCATTCTTCTAATGTCCAATTTGATGTATCTTCGCCCATTGCAGATACAGCTGGCGATGATGTATCATCAGTGCAGGAACATGCATCAGCTGTATAGGCCCATATGCAGCATTGTACACTGCACAGTGTGTTGAGAAACACTCTGGGTTGCCACTGTTGTAGTTCTTCGATCACGGCGACTAATGTGTAGCAATCTCCACTCTCCTCTGGAATCAATGCACCATTGATGACGCACTACTGGCCGGCAGCTTGTTGTTTCACAATCAGTAGACCACTTTCGATATATGCACACAACAAACCACTAAATGTGCCATTTAGGATATTGATGTTCCCAGTCACTGAGCCATATTGATTTGACCTATATGGAAGTCTGATAAATCAGTTGCTTTTCCCATTATATCGCTAATCACACTATGTTTGAAAAGGCAATGCATAGCTGCTTTATATACTCCAATGATAGCCACGCATGTGCAGTGGTTTTGTTCTTGAGTGAGCCCATTGTTATAGATGGAGGATGGTCATAATGTAATTACTGTTCGGTGTATTTACCTAATTTATCTTTTAATGTCAGCATGTGGACCGGCCACCAAGTAGATGTATGCTTGACCTCTAATAAATTTGCACATCAAATTTATTTTTAAGCTGCTTTTTGAAAAATCCCTATTTAAATATTTCTGTTGGTTAGCTTTTGTCTCAATAACAACAAAATAATGAAGCAAGCTTTATTTTACTTTATAATATGGCATAAACATTGTTTTGTTTGATCATTATGCAAAATATAGGGAGTGTTGTGGAAATATCACAGACAAATACTTTATCAATTTTAGGTGTTTGATAACTTTTCTTTTTATTTTTACTCCCAAAATTTCTGCAGATTTATTTTGAGTAGTTCAAACAGAAAGATCCCTGATAAGAGAGATAGTAGTACATACAATAAAGCCATTTTTTTAAGCTTTTAAAAAGTCTAAAACTGGAACACATTTGATGCAAAAAGAGCTTCAATTCAGAATGGGAAGA